ACTTGTTCAAAAAGGCTCAAGCATAGTGACATCCTGAAGCCATAACGAGCTATGAAGTCACAATGACACATGCTGGAAACTTCTCCGCACACACTCCCCCTTGGCAGCTTCGTGCCAACTCGGTGCGCAGTTCAGTCTCGGACCTCCAGCTCTGTGCAGCCAATCCAGATAAAAGGCAGGTGAGCCTGTGCGTCTGGCTCCTCCCTCCAGTTATCTGTATGCACCTTGCGTCCGTTCGGAGACCCTTCAGAAATGTCAATCACCCAGGTTCTTCGTCGCCCAGTGTATCTGCTCACTGCAACCGGGGAGGAAGTATTCACCGGACTAAAAAGGCGCAATCGGCTGTCCAGATGCCATCTCAGAACAGTGCGTCGTCCTGGGAGATGCTCGTATCGGTCCTGCCCTGCGGGCATAAAATCTCGGTTCAAAACTGTAGGCCAGCCTGCCAGATTCTCATCTCGAAACTGAAATGCTGGTCTTCGAGGTCGTCTCCGTGGCTGACTTTCGGCTTCTTGTCGAAGAAGAGGGGCTCCTGGCCTCTCCGAGGGGGTTGACACTTCCTCCTCCTCGATGCGATCCACAAATCGTCGCTCCACTGCTTGCTGTGTCCCAAATATAACGACATCATCGACATACTGAACCACATGCACAGGTGAGCGATCGGCTTGTCTAAGCACTAACCGAGATACCACAGACCAACAACCCCTAGCAAAACTGTACACTAAAAACTTTAAGGCTTCCCAACAACAAATAGTAACCACAATAAGACCCAAAATAAACTGCCAATCCCCTTTGCCAAGATCCCCAGCGCTACCAGGGTCGTTCTTGCTACGGTGGGCACGGGCAGGTTGAAGCAAACTAGCCACGATAAGGCTCATCAACAAAGCCTTGACTTTCTCGTCAAAGCTGGCATCGCCGACTCCCGCCCACGAAGGTCCTGCCTCGAGCTCCGGCTTGTTGGCAACATTCAGGGTCCGGTCGGCCATGCCCAGGGAGTGCACGAGGTGCTGAAACCTGGTGACAGGTAGAGGCTTCGTTCCAATATCTGCCTTCATGCTGGTACCACTCACGTGGTGAAGGCTGTACCGTCCAGATTCTAGAGCTTCGCGGACGAAAGAGGCACGGAGTCGTAAGTGCCTGGTGCGCCAATTTGCTGCTGATGTCGTACAGATAGCAATGGCTGCTTGACTATCCGAGTGCATCTGCACTGAGATGGAGGCGCCATGAATTTCCTTCACCAGCGGCTCCAAAGCTTGTAACTCCGTGAACAATGACGTAATTCCGGCTAATTCCGACTCTGCCGTCGACAAAGTGGTCAATCCCTGTCGGGTCGACGACCAACCTATTAATGCTCCGCTATAGAAGCACAAGGTCGATTGGATGGATCGACTGGAGGATGGGGCGAAGCTTGCGTCACAAAACCCTGCCAGCGAGTGTTCGCCCATTGGAACCGAGAGATCTCCCTCCTCTCCCCACTGCATACCAGCAACCTGGTACCAGAGTCCACGGTCGGGATGGCGCCTCAAGTATTTGAGGATTTGCTCCCCCATTCCAACCGCCTCCTCAGCATTGATGGATATTGTCCGGGAAAGAGCCCCAACAGCAAACTG